CGGGCCGATAGGCAGCAACTCACCCCCACAACCTACCCCCTTCCTCTCCCTATCTTAGCCCCCTCTGCCCCCACCTCTGCCGACTACCTCTTACTGTAATTGTCGCCACCGCTGCCAAGGTCTCCATCAAGCCTCCGCAGCTGTAGGAAGGGAAACTGGCTGCCTTTTGCAAAGATGGCAGCTGCAGCTTCCCTACTCTAAATAGAGGGGCTAATGTAGGGAGAAGTGGGGGGGGCGGGGGCAGGGGGGTCTTTTTAAAATAACCCCCCACAAATCAACAAATAAATTTGTTATTCATCAGTTCATGGGGGCAATTTCATGCTTCGTGAGTCATCAGCTTTTGATAACTCACAAAGCAGGACGACTCGCCAAAATGGTGAGTCGTCCCCATCTCTAGTTGAGGCATAAATGTGTATGTTATTTGGATAAGCATTACCTGATGGAATGATGTTTGGATTATTGTTTCGTTGTGTACTGTCAAGCCACTTCCTATTTATGGTGGCCCTATGACACCTGGATTAGCTGCATTTTCATCTTCTGTTACTATGACTGCAACTCCAAAATACTGTTCTGCATCATTATTCAATCCACAGATTCTTCTCATGCTGTGATCCTGCTAGGACTAAGGATGTCTTTATATCTATCTAGCTATGATGACTGTATTCGGAAGATATAATGTGGTGCTTCGTTGCCTTGTGCATCTTGACTTCATAGCCAGTTATCATGGCTATCATCATGCCCACAATTTCTTACGTATATTGAAGCTGAGCCAACATCCTTTCTCTTTGGTTTCCTACAGCAACACTGCTGCTTCTCAAAATCAGGTGCAGTTCAAAGTTGACTTGCTTCCACAGTTGGTCATGCAGCTGATCAAACTCCCTTGCTCAAAGTCACTGGTTTTTTATGAGTTGGGCTAATCACCTGTCCCCAGACATTGCTTGTCAATGGAACTACAATTTATAAAAGAGTTTGGGAGTTCAATTCCCCACTGTGCATCTCAGAACAGTCAGCCTGTGTAGTCATGGACAAGGTGCACAGTCCCAGAGCATCCACAGAATAAGGGAATAGTAAACCACTTCTTAGTATTCTTTTCCTGGAAAACCACAAAAAGGACCGCCATAAGGCAGAACTGAATTAGTGGCACAAGATGATGACTTTTTCCCCCCTAATGACCAATAAAGCTACTACTGTAGCTATATTGTGAATCCACACATGATAAACTCCATATCGATAACTCAGCCATTCTTTGCTTGAAGACACTACAATTGAATGAATTTTGAGTTTTCTTACGTGTTTCCAATCTAGTTTTTCTGAAGTATAAAAATTACAATCTGAGCCCAGGAGAGGGCGATCAACTCAAAGGAATAAAAATGATGACTTTAAGAAAGCACAAACTACTGAGTGAAATCAGTACTGTCATGTTTGTTTGTTTATTTGTTTGCTATAAAATTATCCTCAATGTAGCAATGTGTGTTTTCCGCTGTCCTTAAAATACACATGATCCTTCTGGTACCCTTCTTAGTACATTTCATTTCTGGCTATGAACTTAGTAACAGAAGACAAGAACCACCATGATGATGATGGTTGCTGAAAAATATACACATAAGCACATATTTCCTGGGTGAGATGAAAACGTAAACAATCCAGGAAGCACTGCTGGGAAATCCCTCTTGAGCAGATGTGGATCAGGGTGTTTATCTGGATAAGCTCCCAGACTAAATTCCTTGGAAAAATTTGTACTCGGAAGAATTTTATGCATTTAAGGATTTAGGAATCTTTGTCTGCCTAAAAGAACAGAAAAGAAAACGCCTATCCGTACACTCTCTGATGTGTGTACTTAGAAGAAATCAGAAGCTTTTTGAGGCAATTATTAAACACCATTCCACCTTTCGGTAAAATCTGAAACACATGTAAACAAAGTTTGTTAATATTTTCCCTATGGGGGAAAAAAGGGAAGCTGGACACTGTGCTCCTTTCTAAACTTGCTCCAGACATAAACAACAATAAATAGTGCCAGCCTTATACTTTTCTTTGTTTTTTCTTCAGAATGAAACTCTCCCTTTGGAAGGCAATAGAAGTTGCAATTTCAAAGACTCAACCATTTAAAAAAGGGGATAGGGGATGGTTGTGGTTCAAGAGAGCACAGCTCTGCATGCAAAGGACTGTAAAACCTATAGCAGGTGGGATGATGTTTCCTGGCAGACTTTCCTCAGGAAGTCACCGATACCCTTGTGCGGTGGTCCTCAACCTTGGGCCTCCAGATGTTCTTAAACTACAATTTCCAGAAGCCTTCACCACCACCTCTGCTGGCCAGGATTTCTGGGAGCTGAAGTCCAAGAACATCTGGAGGCCCAAGGTTGGGGACCACTGCCCTTGTGGGCTCCGTTTGGTTTCAGAACGGACTTCATACAACCATTTATTCCACCCATCATTCCTGAAACAAAAGGCCTATTAGAATTGTCTGGCTTATTTCAACAATCATTCTCCACAAACTGATTAGTTTAAATAAAAAACCAAAAAAAAGGAAAAAAAAAACCACAATATTTTCCTAGCAATTGCAATACTGGTTTTCACATGAGCAGCATAAACTTGCGTTGTGCAAGGATAGTTCTTGAGTGTATGTTCAAAATGCTTAAATGTTTCTAATATGAATGTCACTTTGACCATTTAGAGACACATCCTCAGAATTATTTATTAAAATCTTAGATTTAACTACATGAAACATCCCAAAGCTTGTCTCCTTTGCTTTACATTTATAGTAGGATCCTGTTTCCACGGGGGATCAGTTCCAAACACCCCTGCATATATAGCATGGTCTCAGACTCCCTCTAGTGGCTAGCTCTGGTAACTTTACCTTTAAATATACTGTATATTCTTTTAATATTTTTTATATTTTCATACCATGAACAAGTGAATGGCTTGTTCGATGGCTTCCCTGTGCATTGAAATCCATAAACATCAACAAAACTTCAACAAAAAAGAAGCAGGCCTAAAACTAAACAAGGCCTGCCTTCCAATACTGTATAATATAGCCTGCAAAAGGTCAACGAACTCTCCCCAGCCATAAGGACCAGGGATCATTGCACAAAGAAAGACCAGCTAACGACACCCATGAATCACAGTGACAGATAATATCTCCCCTCCATATCACAACAAAAACACGCTGATCACCCTATCTCCTGGAAAAGGACAAAAGGCTGTTCCCACAGCTATAAATACTCAACTATCCAACAAACGGCAACAGAGCATGGACAGAGTTCCTATTCCAGTCCTCTGAAGATGCTGGCCACAGAGACTGGCAAAACATTAGGAAGAACAACCTTCAGAATACGACCAAAGAGCCTGAAAAACCCACAAAAACCATCAGATCCCGGCCGTGAAAGCCTTCGAGAATACTAGATTTATTACATTTATAACTAAACAACTGATTCTTTTTAGTGTAATTACAACTGCCTTTAGTTGTTTTTATATTTATAGGAAGCATGTGACATCATTGCTTAGATGTCTTGTGTATCACAAACTGGTAACTGGTAGCATTCTGTTTATTTTCTTAAGGGTAAATGAAAGCAGAACTTTGATTAGTGTGGAAGTAAATAATTAATTTTTAAAATGTTGTAGCTGAAAAAAATACTTTTAAAAAGTAAATTTCCAAATTCTGCTGTGGACTATTGTGTCCTGTTCTGAATACCACATTTTAAAGAAGACATTGACAAATGGGAACATGTCCAAAGATGAAACCACAGGATGGTAAGAACACAGGAATCCGAGTCCTGTTAGGAACAGTTGAAACAGATGGGTACTTTCAAGTTAGAGGGAAACATAATAACAGTCCTCAAATATATGAAGGCCTGTCCTGAGGCTTTTCTATCTAACATGAGAAGAAAAAAATACTAGGCCCCATCCTCTCTGTCTGCATAGCCTCCTGGTAAAATAAGAACAGTGCGACAGATTTCTTTGCTCTTAAAAATGTAATAAACATTGTCACTCACTCAGGGAAGAAAGGGGGGGGGAAATGGATGCTAGAAAAAGGATAGTTCTTGTGGTACAATGGAAACCAAACAATGTAATTTACTGCCAGACTTTCGCATCTGGTATTCCTTGCAATCTTTCAAAAATGAATGAGATAAATTAGTTGATTAGGTTAGCCCCCTCCCTTTTATCCTTTCACCGAATACTGAAGACCCACCTCTTCAGGTAGACTTTTAATAACCATGACACCTTGGAGGCTAGTGTTTTTTTTTAAACTACGTAAATTTTCTTTTGCATTTTTAAATGTTTTAAACAACTTTATATTCATTATTATTATAGTTTAATCACATTTTAATGTGTGATTTATTGTGGCTTTAATTTTATTTGTTTTAACATTGATAGCCACCTTGGTTCCCCTCACTGGCAGAAAGGTGGCCTATAAATTACTTTTAAAATTACTTACTTAATTAATTAATTGAACCTAATTCATAACCCACAGAACTGAGGATCATTATTTATGAAAATAATGGTTCTAGAAATATGAATTGTTATCAGCTAATGTAGCTTTCTTCAATGTTAGTTTACATTTCCAACAAAATATGTCAAAACAAAATGACTTTGTTTTAAGTAGTTTTAAAAACTAGGGGAAAGGGAAGCAGTTGAAAAATCAAGGGGGTTTACAGTATGAACATGCTACAACTATGGTCATTAATTTAGAACTATTTATGTAGCACAAAAAAGAAAACCAACTTTCAGATGCATTTTGTGTTGATTTTTAGTGAATCTTACAGTTTTTGAAGGCAACAGATATCATTTAACATCAGCTGTTGAAGTGATTCAGTTTTGAGTCATCAGTGAGTGGGCAATGCACTGAACATTCTACACTATAAAGAAAAGCACAAATGATTGAAAAAAATTATTTGAACACATACACGCACACATTTCAAAAGCTGGTAGAATTGTACTATGCTTACATTCCAGGAAAGGCAGATTATCAGTTTTCAGAAATGCAAAATGAAATCACAGACATCATGGTACAAATTGTTAAAAAGGACATTGTGCAAAATAAAAACATTCCAGATGTCCAATGGTATATGATCTTGGACAGTTCTATTAAAGACATTGTTTCAGGAATCTCATATGTGAAAAAGAGAGCCAAAGATGACAATACTATTGGTAATTCATGCTTGCATAGGGGAAGCCATGTGAATCCTGGCAGCAAATTGCCATTCTTTCTCAAAGTGCTGATTGTATTCCTGGGTGAGCACCTGATTGTGAGTGTGCTCAGGAAAACAACCAATTCATGCTTAATGAGCACCAACCTGCCACCAAAACTTAATGCAATTTCCCTTATGGAGGTGTACATTGCAAGTGGGATTCTGGCCAATGTCTATGTTTTTTTTTTAATGCATAGTAACCACCACAATGTTGGTGCTGAATTCTTTACAGACTTGATGCTGAGGTGTTTGAAGAAAAAAAGGCTGGATATGTCTAAACGGTTGAGCCAATGTTATGAGGGACCATATACTATACGTGACCATAAAGGAGCGCAAGCTCTAATTCAACAAAACCTTTAAAGAAAAATCCCATATGCTCACCATGGTAATCACCATGTCCTTTGGGTTGTTGTGAAAGCTGTGGATGATATAAAACCTGTCCAAAACTATTTTTGCCATTGTGCTGTGCTTCACACATTCTTTAATCCTGGAAAATTTACAAAATTATACAAAGGTCAAAGCCTTCTGGACCCGTGGAACATCACAAGTAAGTTATTTAAAAATTTCCACAAGGGCTTTATCTAATCCTTAAAATATTGCTAATCCTTTTAAAAACAGGAAACTTTTTTAGAGATTATGTTGCCCAAAGTGAAAAGGTATTTGTTGCCAATTAAAAACAACCTTGTTGTTTCAAATTCATTTTTAAAAAAATTCTTGAATCTAGAATCTGCATAAAAAGTCTTCAGAGTCCAAGAAACAGGACTGAAGAGTTTTGTAGCCATGATCAGTGCAATATTGCATACAATTAAAGAATATAAAACAATGGTACTTTCCATGAAGTCCTTCAGGAAGATTTACTTGTGAGCTGTGATTCATCATCATTTACACCTGGCATATCTGCCTAACAAGGTTTATAGAAATAACATCCAGGTGTCCTTTTTTGGACTGATTAATTTCCTAAACCATTTGAAAGAAGTAGGCTCAAATTCCCCATAAGTTTTTTGGGTTTTTTTAAAAATGCCACAGGCAAGACCATCACCTTACTGGCAATACTCTTTTATGACCTGCACATAAAATTAGGGATGACTTCCCATTAGGGAGAGTGAGGTGGCCACACTGGGCAATCGACTTTGGGTGCAATGGAAAGGTGTTAACTGTGAGAGGTGATGAGAAGTGATTGTTGAATTTTCTGTCTCTTATGATGAACATTTATCTGTGCTTGGGTACTATACTCCTTGACTTGCAGGTGTGAAAGTGCCATTTGCTTCAGGCAGCAAAATGGCTTGGGCTGCTCCTGCATAAACTTCTAGCAGCCAAAAAAACCCTCATTCTTTCAGCGTTTGTAAAACTATGACGCTTCTCATAGCAAAATTTAAGCTTAGACTGAAGAGATTAGGAAAAACCACTGGGCCACTCAGGTGCTCCTGCATAAACTTCTAGCAGCCAAAAAGACCTCATTCTTTCAGCCTTTGTAAAACTATGAAGCAGTTGAAGAAACCAGCATTTGTAGTGAAAATGTCTTTTAAAAAAGAAGAAAAAATAGAAGTCCCTAGAAAACGCATAATACTTTGATGATTTCCAGTAATGTTCACTCTAGCTTGATATTTAAATGTAATTTAGTGCCAAACAGTCAAGATTACACTTCATATTCAATATGAACACACATCATGACCAAGAAAACAAAGACAGATATCTTTCATGTCTCAAAAATAAAGCAAGCTGGTTTAGACACCTGGAGTTGCCGTCTTTAAAATGAGAAATTTATTGAGAAGAGTCTCTGAAATGCCTCAGAAAATAGAAAACATATTTCAGTTGCAAATTCCCACAGATGCACCAGAGAAGCTTAGTAGCAACATCTGTGCTTTACTTTCCAGATGTTTTTTGGTATAGAGCAAAAATAAAATTCTTACTAATAAAGGAAATCTGAGCAAAGAGGCATTCAGGGTAAACTTGTACTCCTCTCATCTGATGTTCTCATAAAGCAAGCTGCCATTATACAGTACTGTAATTGATAATGATCCTGCAGGACCTATATAACAAGAATATACATTGATAAAGGGAAATGCACATGCTTGAGAAAAATCTGATTTATTGAGCTTTTAAAGGTATTTCAAGAATTAGAAATAGTATTTTTATTGAGTTGAATGTGACCAATAGAAAACCTAGGAACTTTGGCTCCTGCTTCTTTTCTGTTCAAAACATCTTGTCTTGTGCCTTTTAAAGTTCTGGACGTTTATATTACAGTTCTATGGTTAGAGACATGTGCTAGTCCTACTGAAATTAATGAAATTAAAGATAATAGGACATTAAACTGCAGGAACATGGTTAAAAGCATCTAAGTCACAACTTACTGGTCCACAGGCACATTGGAACCATTCATGTGTTCAGTATAGCAGACTTGAGGAAGAAAGGCTCTGCTGTTTCAAGACCTTCTCCATGAAATAGGGACCCCTTTAAAAATCCAGGTTCCTGATGGCATGGAGAGGCTCTATGTGTAGATACTGCTTTTCTTTTAGGCTGCAAGGTCCATATACAGTGGTGCCTCACAATTCTGTTCCATGGAAATGGCTGTCTTGAGAAAACATCATCTTGTGAAACCCAGTTCCCCATTGGAATGCATTGAAATCCACTTAATGCATTCAGATTGGGGAATAATCACTGTCTTGCAAAAATTGTCAGTAGAAAACACCATCTGGCAAAACACAGTTCCCCATACCATATTGAGGAAAAGCAATCCCCTCACCTGCACTGCCTTTAGAAATTCCATGGATCTGACAGCTTTCTCTCTCTAGCAACAAAGAAAAATGGTAAAAGGAGTCAAACCCCCTTCTGTCCCCTGACCCCCCAA